ATTCACAGCCAGTCACCCAGAGCTCCAGTAGAGGGAGGGCAGAGTTGACTAGTCATCTGAGGTGAGATTGGGCATTATGCCTCTGGAGAGGGAGCTGAAGGAGACAGCTGCCAGTATCTCTGTACTGAGTCATTCTCCCATACTGCAGGCACCATATTTCTTGAATGGAGCTCTCCCCTTGTGTTGCATGAGCCTGGGAGAAAGCAATAGTCTTACCATCTAGACTCCCTCTCACCCCACCCTGTTAAGCTTACACCCTGCTGAGGAGTACAACCAGGAGACTGAGCTTAAAAGGAAGCTGACAGGCCGAGGTGGGACTCTGGCTGCCTTGGGACTTTTAATGAAAGGCCTCCGGGCTTGGTGCTAGTAAAAGCTGGCCTTGGTGCACAGCTTGGTCCTTCCCATGTGTACCCAAGCCCAGCAAAGGCAGCCACAGATTGTGGATCACTTGTTGCTCCAAAACAGGTTGTCAAGGGCCAGTCACAGATAACATCTTAACATTGGTATGCACCCTCCCAAGAGACTCAGAGCCAACACACCCAATGGCCAGCTTCAAACAACGTCAAAAAAGGATCTAATATGCTTCACAAGAAGTGTATCCAAAAGGAAATCTCGGCAAGGACCATACCCTGCTGAGGTGAATTTCACTTCTTGTGCTTAACACCTGCACAGCAGCTTGCATACATGGTCACGGTTGAGCCTCAACGGTCAGCCAGCCTGAGACCCCATCCCACACACAAATGGGCCAATAGCAATCAAAACTCAATTACAAGAGGAGGGCCCACATAACCCACACAAGGGCCATTCCTGGAGCATCCAGCTCAGGTGATCAAGGAAACTGCACTGCTGGATCCCACAGAACACCTACTACATAAGGCCACCCAATGAAGACAAGTAGTCATAGATGATCTGATACATAGAAACAAACATAAAGAGGCAGCCAAAATGGACAAAGAAAAAGGCCTCAAATGAAAGAACGGTAAATCTCCAGAAAAAGAGCTAAAAGAAATGGAGGCAACAATAGGTTGCATAAAGCAGAGGATCCAATTTGGAAAACAAGTTAGAAAAAAACAAACAATCAGAGCAGCAAAAACTAAAAAGAATTTTTAGAAAATGAGGCTATGCCCTGGCCGGTGTGGCTCAGTAGTTGGGCATCAAGTCATGCACCAAAAAGTTGCTGGTTCGGGTGAGGATTTAAAAAAATACACCAATGGCATATTTCACAGAACTAAAACAAATATCCCCAAAATTTATATGGAACCACAAAAGACCTTGAATAGTAACAACAATATTGAGAAAAGAATATTAAATTTGGAGGAGTCATGCTATATGATATCAAAGTATACTACAAAGCCATATTAATCAGAAGAGCATGGCACTGGCATAAAAACAGACATATAGATCAATGGAATAGAAGAGAGAGCCTAGAAATAAACCCAAGCTTTTATAGTCAAATAATATTTGACAACGAAGGCAAAAACATACAATGGGGTAAAAATAGTCCATTCAATAAATGGTGCTGGGAAAATTGAGCAGATATGTAAAAAAATTAAATTAGACCACCTTCTTACACCATACATAAGAATAAACTAAAAATGGATTTAAAGACTTAAACATTAGACTCAAAACTATGAAAATCTTAAAAGAAAACATAGACTGTAAAATCTTGGACATTACTAATAGTAATATATTTTCTGATATATCTCCCTTGGCAAGGAAACAAAAGAAAAATAAACAAATGGGACTATATCAAACTGAAAACTTTGCAAAGCAAAGGAAACCATCACATAGACATAGACCACAGTGTGGCGAATGCAGGGTAGGAGGGCAGGGGTGGGGGGTTGAGGAGGATATTGGGGTGATAAGTGGTAATGGACAGAGACTTGACTTGGGGTGGTGAATAATAATACAGTGTATAGATGATGTGTTGTAGAATTGTGCACCTGAAACCTATATAATTTTGTTAACCAGTGTCACCCCAATGAATTCAATAAAAAAGGAAAAAAAAACGTTTAGAAGCTGAGTAATATATCTTTTATGTAATCTAGATCCTATTACTGATAGTTTGCTATTCCATTCAGTAAATTCAACTTTTCTTAGAAGTTAGAAACTAATATAAGCGTTGTAACATTTTAGTAGTGTTCTGAAGCTTTTTAGTAAGCAAACTATACGTCTAGTAGTTTTCTTATCTAAGAGGAAATAGGCATCTATAAGAAGCCATTTATACCCATGTGAATTTACAAACAGAAAACTATATCCCTGCTGCTTTCTGAGATTAAGAGAAATTTGGAAGAACCTCAGTTTTCAGTACAATTTCAGAACAAATTTCAGTTCAAATTCAGAAAATTTTGGTTATAATTTTCAGTAATAAGGTTCAATCAAATGGGACACTTACACTTTTATGTCACCTTATTTGGATACTCTACCAGAGTATCACCTCTTTGAGATTATACTTTAGCCAGCTTACTTTAGTTAGGTTACCAATTTTGCTATATTGTGGAGTGAGTTTATGAAATTTATCCTGTGTTTCATGATCAAATATACAAAAAGGGGACATATGTAATATTTTCAACAATGAAGATTTTAAAAAATAAAAGAATATGGTGACCTCGGTCCCACAACCACAAGGAACTAAATTTTGCTAACATCCTAAATGAGCATGTAAATGAAATTCTTTCCTAGGAGTTGGCCAATATGATAACTGTTTTGAGATGCCCTGAGCACAAACCCAGTCATGTGCCATACTTGAAAATTTGACCTACAGAATTCTGATTAGTAAATGGGTGTTTTAAATCACCAAGTTTGTGATCATTTATTATGTAGCAATAGAATACAAATATATGAACAATTCCATTAAAAATAAATAAATTAATCAATCAATTAATTAAATTTTAAATTTATTGGCATAAATATTCCCTTATACTTCAAACTCTGGAGACTCTGTACTGATATCACTTCTCTTATTCCTGACATTGGTGATTTGTGTCACCTTTTTTTATCATGATCAGTTTGGCTATATTTTATCAATTTTATTGATCTTTTCTTAAGAATCTAAAGAGAAAGAAATGTACAATATGAAGATTTAGAGAAAAGTAGAGGGAACAGCACTTTCACAGTCCCTGAAAGGGGGATAATTTGGCATTTTCATAAAGAATAAACTGGAAGTGGCCAAAGGAGGAATCATGGAGAACAATTCTGAGACTTACACAATAATATAGATCAGAGAAAGATAACGATAGCTTGGACTGCTTATAATGGCTAACAAGATGTGAGAAGTGGTTAGCTTCATAATATATTATGAGGTAAATCCAATAGGACCTGCTGATGTCTTATATATGGAGTGATGGAGAATAGTCACAAATAATGCTTAGTCTTAGGCCTGTGGTTAATGGTAGCTTTGTGAAATAGGAAAGATTGGAAGGAGATTTGAGCTATTGTGGGGAAAGGGGGATGGAGGAAATGCCTCAAGAGTTCTGATTTATACTTATTGAACATTTTGAATAATTAGTTGACTCAAATAAATTTTTTCTATTGTATATATTTTCTGTTTGCTTAAGTTATCCAGGAAATTCACTCTTCATCGTGTAAAAATTGTCTAATGAAAGCACTGTATAGGAGATATTCAAGGTAAAAGAGGAAATGTTTGGCAACTACATATAGTTTCCAGTAAAACATTAAAGTTGTAATATACTGGGAAATAGAAGAAACAGATAAATGTGTAAATCTTTTTGTGCTAAAGACATTGGAGTGCAGTGATTAGAGTTAGGTTGTACCTTATGTTAATAAACCTAATAACGAAATATTCTGTTTCAAGGTAGTGTATATAATGTGAGTAACCATGAATTTCTTTAATGAGATCAAAATAGCGAATTCTGAAATTCGTTGTTCTTTTGTGAAGTTCTTTGTATATAAATTAGATATTTGAGGTGACTCCAGAAGATTAGGCCTAGAATCCCAGACCTCCTTTAAAACAGACCACAATATAAGTTCAGCCCAAATAGAACTGATAGGACCTATTTGGTGTCCTTTGTAATAGGTCCAGAGGATGACTAATTTCTAGAGGTAGAGGGATTCAATCTGTAATTTTGGAAAATGATACACTAGAGGGAAACCACTATGCTCTCCCCAAAAATAGTCTCAGAGAATTTGGCTGAGCTATTAGATTGATCTCTTTCTTGATTAGAGTAAGCCTCCAAGTCAGGGTAAAATTATTTCAGTCATAAACGGAAATAGAATTCTTTCGGTGGTAAACTGAAGTAGAATTGTAATAGAATACTTTACGAAATAGAGGAAGTCTTAAATTTACATTTTTATTTCAGCAAACTGCTATATAAAATACAATAAGCATTCAGTTTGAACATTTCTCTGAGGACAGGGACCTTTTTTGTGTTACTCATTACTATATTCTCAGCATAAGCACAGTGCGGCTACTCTGCTATGTTTCTATATGAATATGTAAATTAATGAAACTTCAAATTAGAAAGTGGTTTATTTTGTGATTTTTTTTTCTTTTTTTTTTTTTTTTTTATTGCTTAAAGCAAATATGTCCATTGGTTATGCTCATATGCATGCATACAAGTCCTTCGGTTGATCTCTTACCCCCCTCCCTCCTGCCCCCCAACCCTCCCCGGCCTTCCCGCTGCAGTTTGACAATCTGTGTGAGGCAGCTCTGCCTCTGTATCTATTATTGTTCTCTGCTATGTTTCTATATGAATATGTAAATTAATGAAACTTCAAATTAGAAAGTGGTTTATTTTGTGATTTTTTTCTTAAACGTGTTTCTTCACTAGAGGGTGCTGTGTACGCATGCTATACTTTTAAGTGTTCATTTTTTTTTATTTGCCATGAAATTGGATTTTAAATAATCTGATTTATTAAGAGCTTTCATTTCTCTTTTTGCTTTCAAAGCAATACTGATGGTATTGTGTATTCATGAACTTGAGTAACTATTAATGGAAGCATTAACACAAATGTTTCTTTTCTTCCTCCTCTTCAGAAGACTTATGACTCCAATCATGTATGCTGCACGAGATGGTCACCCTCAGGTGGTTGCTCTCCTTGTTGCTCATGGAGCAGAAGTTAATACCCAGGATGAAAATGGTTATACTGTGAGAATCCATTACACAATGTTCCTTTTTATTTCTAAGACATTGATATAATTACTAGTATTAGGCCACAAATATGTTTGAAATAAAAGTTATAGAAGGGCTAGGATATAATTGCGTTTTGATGAAGAAAAGCAACAGCTGAAATATAAAGGAATTATCTGTCTCTCTTGGTCCTCACCATTGACAAAGAAGCTGTAACACATAACAAAACCTGGGCTCCAGAATACACTTAGAATTCTTTTTTTATAGAACACAATTCAGTAGTTGGCAGATAGACCATTTTATTATATAACATCACTTGAGTGTGTAAAACATTTCTTTTATACTGAGTACTGGAAGTTTGCTTTGCAATTACAACTTTGGAAATATGTTTACATTAAATTGTGAAAGGAAGAGATTGCATCATTTCATTAATTAACCATATTTACTTTTTTATTTTATTTATTGTTCTCTCCCTCTCATATACAGTTCCTCTTTTTAAACAATGTTTTCCTCCCCACCTCCCACTTGTCCAGGCTTTAACATGGGCAGCACGTCAGGGTCATAAAAATGTAGTTTTGAAGTTGCTTGAACTTGGAGCTAATAAAATGCTACAAACCAAACATGGAAATACACCAAGCGAGATTGCAAAAAGAAATAAACATCTAGAGGTATTCTTTTATATATTAAACTAAATATTCTATGGCATGTTATGTTGTCATTTGTATTCTAGAGTAAATGCTGATAACTAAAGCTCTGTGAAACTTGAAGAAGAAATTTGTAGTTTTTTTCTTCTAAGCTTTGAAGATTTGAGGACTTTTAATTAGTTTATTGCATTATTAAATCTAGGGTATGTGACACTGAAATAGAACATTAAAGAACATCAAAGAACAATATGATATGAATGATTATTTTGAGTTTTAAATTGTTTCTTAAAGTGAGATTTAATTTTGTATTTTGGCTAATTATGTAGCATAACCTTGAATTACTAAAAAGTTAGATTTTAAAACTAAGAAATTTTCCCATATCTTTTTGAGGTATGGAGTTGGGATTTGTATACATTTAGCCATGCTTACTACTTTCTACCTACTTAACCATGTATTTCAAGTTCTACCTTAGTACTCAATCTGAGTTACTTACCAAAATGGAATTTTTCGTTTTGTTTTATATTGTATGGAAAATATTGATTAGTATATTCTTTTGTTTTTCCTATTTTTAATTAGATGTACTTCTTTTCTTTTCTGGTTATTCTATTTTATTTTATTTTTTAAAATATATTTTTATTGATCTCAGAGAGGAAGGGAGAGGAAGAGAGAGGTGGAAACATCAATGATGAGAGGGAACCATTGACTGGCTGCCTCCTGCACGTTGGACTGAGCCCGCAACCCAGGCAGGTGCCCTTGACCAGAATCGAACCTGGGACCCTTTCATCCACAGGCCGATGTTCTATCTATTGAGCCAAACTGGCCAGGGCTCTGGTTATTATTTTAATCAAGGAAATATTTGCTTAATTTATAAAAAGTTATTCTCAGGATAGTAAATTGTGAAAGTTCAGTCCCTCTCACCTTGGAAAAAAATTCTTTCTAGATCAGCGGTTCTCAACCTGTGGGTCACGACCCCTTTGGGGGTCAAACGAACCTTTCACAGGGGTCGCCTAAGACCATCGGAAAACACATATATAATTACATATTGTTTTGTGATTAATCACTATGCTTTAATTATGTTCAATTTGTAACAATGAAAATACATCCTGCATATCAGATATTTACATTACGATTCATAACAGTAGCAAAATTACAGTTATGAAGTAGCAAAAAAAATAATTTTATAGTTGGGGGTCACCACAACATGAGGAACTGTATTGAGAATCACTGTTCTAGATATAAAATAATCACATTTAGTTTCTTTTAAGTAATAGTATATAATATTGTTAACTGTATTTGAATGGTTCAACTTTTTTCAGATCTTCAGCTTTCTTTCTTTGACTTTAAATCCATTGAAAGGAAAGCTTCAACAGCTAACTAAAGAAGAGACTATTTGTAAACTATTGACAACAGATTCTGATAAAGAAAAAGATAGCATATTTAGGTAAAAAACCTTTTTATTGTTCAACAGAATACCTATAATTCAGTAAAAATTGTGCATGATTTTATTACTTCTAGTAAATGTGATATATGATATCTTAAACTTATAAGAATTTTTTAATATCACTTAGAAATGTTTGTTTTCTAAGTGCTTTATTCTCCAGAATTTTAGAAAAATTTTATATGTGTGTATTGACAGTAATGAGGATAATTTTTGACTTTATACAAAATATCCACAATAACATTTATTTCTAAAAGGTTCTAAGATTATGTTTTTGTTAGGGCTCAGTTTTTTTGAACACTAAGTTTTTAGCAGATTTCTGATTTTTATAAGCTAAAATTAAAAATACACATTTTTTTCTGAACACCATTGTTCAGTATAGGCCACAAAATTGTTATCTATTTACCCACATTTAAAATTATTATTAAATTCTTATTTTCCGCAATTAGTTTTTCTTGTACAAAATCTCAAAAGGAATATATATATATATATATATATATATACACACACACACACACATATATACACACACACACACACACACACACACACACACACATATATCAGCAGTTATTTTCATTCTTAGGAAAGATTATCTATATTTTACTATCACCATTTACTATCACATGTTTACTTGTATCTTTACTCAAGAAACCTTTCTTATTCCTGATATAACATAGAGCTGTTGTGTAAATATGCAAATATATTTTACATATATTCATTTTTACTCATTCTCATTCTTTCTCTGCATTATAAATATTTATTGTTTGGGCATTTATAGTCTTTTTCTGAAATTGACATTGCTATAAATATATATAGTTCATATACAGCATTTGGAGACCTGGAAGTATTTTTACATGGTCTTGGACTTGAACATATTACAGATTTATTAAAGGTAAGACATTGTATAAGCTACAGTAAATTACTTATGTATATTTGTTGGTTAACATGACATTAAATACCTATAAACATGCATATGAAGAGTCCCAAATGCACTATTCTCTGTAATTTGTACTTAAAGCATTTTGAAAATCTGTACTTAAAAGAGTTTCAAAAATTTGTACTTATAAGCATTTTAAACATTTATTATTCTAGAAATTTATGTAAATTTTATGGCTGGGATAAACAGCTTTTACTTACTGCCTAAAGCTTCACGAGATCCTGCTTGTACATCTAAGCCCTTTGTTTTTGCAATTGCTAATCTTCCTGTATAGAATATTAGAAGAAGCATGATTTTAAACCAAATAAACCTGGGATCAGATTCTTGCTTTAATAATTATTAACTGAAATATGTTACTTAAGTATCTCCTTTTTTCATGCTGATGATAATAATACCTAATGTAGGGTTATCATAAAGATTAAATTCATATGCCATCCACTATTATAGGTACTTTAGGTATGAATTATGGGGTTTGAATAGATGACAATTAGAAGATAATTAGAGGCCTGGTGCACGGATTCGTGCACAGGTGGGGTCCCTCAACCTGGCCTGCACCCTCTCGAAATCTGGGACCCCTCGGGGATGTCAGAGAGCCAGTTTCGGCCCAATCCTCGCAGGCCAGGCTGAGGGACCCCACCAGTGCACCCTAACTTGATGTTTTTCTATGCTTTTCTGCGTGTATATTTAATTCCTCTTTTATTTTCAAACTAGAGGCCCAGTGCACAGATTCGTGCATTGGTGGGGTCCCTCAGCCTGGCCTGAAGGGATCAGGCTGAAACTGGCTTTCCAACATCCCCCGAGGGGTTCCAGATTGCGAGAGAGTGCTGGCCAGGCCAAGGGACCCCACCAGGCCTCTAGGATGCATATAAGATCTTTGGTTAATCTCTTTCCGCCCTCCCCCTCTGAGATTGATCAGTCTGTTCCATGTTTCCATGTCTGTGGTTTTTGCTCCTGCATTGAGCATCTGCCCCCTGGTAGTCAATGCACGTTATAGCTACCGGCCAGTTGGCCAGTCAACAGGTCACTTAGGCTTTTATATATATATATAGCTTAACTGATACTGAAGGATTAAAGCACTATGATAGGCTGTCATTCGAAATACGCACATTCTGTTTGGGTAGTTCAAAATTAGACTTCCTTGTACAATCTTGAAACTTCTTATTTGAGATATATTGAGTAAAACTAAATGTTATTGGTGGTTTAATGTAATATAAATAGAAATTTTAAATATTCATAAAGCATAATTTCTATCCAATCATATAGAGTAAATATAAATTGTAATCATTGTCTTTGAATCTGGAAAACTAGCTATATTTATACTTTTTAAGGTAATTATACATATTTTGACATTTATTACTATTTACCTAGTGGTGTAATTCTGTACCTGCATAATCTATCCCCTCTAGAAAGTTGAAAGTTGTTTAGGAAGGTAGCTTGTAACTAACTTATGTACATGTGGCTACTTCCTCATCTACTGTTTTATTTATATTGAAAGGTGGCATTCTTTTTCCTTTCTACAGGAAAGGGATATAACTTTAAGACATCTTTTGACCATGAGGAAAGATGAGTTTACAAAGGTAGTATCAATTTCAAAAACTACAGACATAATCTTTCATATTTCTAAAATTTTAGATGGAACCTTTTATTTTCTATTTTAAAGATCCTAGGCTATAGAGCAGTGATGGCGAACCTTTTGAGCTTGGCGTGTCAGCATTTTGAAAAACCCTAACTCTGGTGCCGTGTCACATATAGAAATTTTTTGATATTTGCAACCATAGTATAAAAAAGATTTATATTTTTGATATTTATTTTATATATTTAAATGCCATTTAACAAAGAAAAATCAACCAAAAAAATGAGTTTGCGTGTCACCTCTGACACGCGTGTCATAGGTTCACCATCACTGCTATAGACCATGAGTGATATTTTGCTAGGTTTTTTTATTATATATGATTATAGATAACCAAAATCTTCTGTTATGGTGTTGTTATTTTAAGAACGTTTAAAATCTTAAGAGTTGATTTTTCTTTTGATTAGTCATGACATTTCAATTAAAACTCCTCCTTTATTTCTAAATATAAATTAAAATTTTAAAACAGGTTACTTAGAAATAAGAGGTGTTTTTTGTGTGAGTATGAACGTGTCATCCAAATATTGCCTTTTGCTGGATTCTCACAATGGTCAAGATCTGTTATTTCATCATCTGATATTATTAAGCAACAATTTGAAAACACTGTGGGGAATATGAGAGTTACTTTAATAAATAGGACACTTAAAAAGTAATGATCTTTCTGAACATATTGGAACACATTGGCATAAACACACTGAAACTTGAAATCTTTAGTATCACTGAAAATCGAAATAAACATACTAATTAGCTAAATCCAGGAAAGAAAATTTAGTTAATACTAAGGGTAGAATAGAAACATAAAGAAGACAGTTCTCATGTAATCACAGATATTTCAAATAATATTTTGAAGGAAAAATTGTATTACTGTGGTTTTTTAGACTATATATTAAAATCTAGTCATTTATTTTTAGAATCCATCACAACTGTTATGTATTGTAAAAAATTTACTGAAGTTACTACATATCTAAGTATTTTAATAATGTAAGCTTCTTAGTCACAGTTACAAGCAAATCATATTTTTTCAGTGTTATTTTTTGTATATGTATCTTTTTTCAAGATGTGAATCAAGTAGAAAACTTCTATAGTAATTTTGAATATTATTCATGTATGACTATCTTATCGCACCTTGAAATTATATCTATTTAGAATGGAATTACCAGTAGAGATCAACAGAAAATTCTGGCTGCTCTTAAAGAACTAGAGGTAGAAGAGATAAAATTTGGAGAATTACCTGAAATAGCAAAGTTGGAAATCAGGTAAAATTAACTTACTGGTTTACATTAATACTGTTTAGAACCAACTGTTCTTTTTTTTCAGTTTAATTTTGACAATGTTTCAGTCATTTTACTTGATGGCATCATTTCCCCAGATAGCTCATTTTGCAACACTTTGTTATAAAATGGGAGATACTTTATGAAGTCGACTTTGAAGTTATTTTACCAAGATTTAAGTGTCAAATTGAAAATATAGTGTAGTGATATTCTCATTTAGGGCAACAAGAAAGTGTTTCTCCTATAGCTCAGCTCTACTTTCAGCTATAAAGTTCATTTTCAATATTATAAATTTGTCACACACTGATAGTTAATAACATTAGTAATCTAAAATCTATTTTGAAAAGAATATTTGATTTTATTAATGTATTATTGAGTATTAAAAGTTTTAACTTTTATTTGAAACAATTATAGGAGCCCCCATGTACCCTCATCCAGTCTCACCCAATGTTAATATCTTGCTTAATAAGATATTACAATATCAAAATATCAGAACCAGAAAACTGATATTGGTACAGTCCACATAGCTCATTCATATTTCACCAGTTACACATGTACTCATTTGTATATATGTATATAGCTCTATGCAATCTTACTATATAACTAGAGGCCCGATGCAGGAAATTTGTGCAAGAGTAGGCCTTCCTTCCCCCAGCTGCAGGCACCGGCTTCCCTCGCAGCCCAGGCTTCGTCCGGAAGGTCATCCGGAAGGATGTCTGGTCTAATTAGCATATTAACACTTTTGTCATTATAGAAGATAGAATATAGCTTCATGTACCTACTTTCATAATCAATACACCTAACATACCGTTACCACAAGGCTCCCTCATAGTACCCCTTTATAACCACACCTCTCCCTCCCTTCTTCCCTAACCCCTAGCAACCAATAATTTGTTACCTATTTTTATAATAATGTTATTTCATGAATATCATATAAATGGAACCATACAGGATGTATCCTTTCTTGATTGGCTTTTTTCAGTCAGCCTAATTTCCTTGAGGTTCACTCAACTTATATCCTATAAAATATAATACTTACAAATTCAGTAGTATTATCACTAGTTAGTCTGCCTAAAACTAATGTTGCAACTATGATAAACATTAAACACATGAATAATAGATTTCCACATTATTTTAAAATTTAGAGGTTTTTCAGGAAAAATCTAGATGATCCAGGTTTTTTTAAAAAAAACTTTATTACAATGTTAAATTATTTTCCTTTCTCTTAATATACCTCTTTATAACAAGAAGATATGTTTTCAAAATAATTCCTCATAATTGCTTCGAAATAACACTTAAGCACATTGTGAAGGATTTCAGTTGTGAGGAATTAAAATCAGCAAACTTTGAATTACTTGGTTCATTTTCTTTACTTAATTTATTTTATGAAGGAATATTCTAAGTTTTACATGCTGACTTGCAAATTAAATGTTCTAATATAACTTATTTGTATGATGGCAGAATTGCCTATACAAATTTATTTTGTGGATTTTATACACTTAAAGAATGTGCAGAATACTGAATGGTTTACTTATTAAAACTGCTGAATTTTTTTAACAAAATAAAACTGGAAGACATATATTTTAGGAATTTGACCTTGTTATTAAATCACAGACTTTGTTTATATGCTGTTAAGGAAAAGGTTTTACTTCCCATTTATTCAAAGTCATTCTTTAAAGAAGAAATTAGTCATTAAGTCATAAGAAAACTAACAGCAAGAAAAGTTGAACTGATTGATTATAATCTTCTGATAATGTGATTTTAATAATTTAGCTACTGATTTATTTTAAGATACTTTCTTCTGTGTTGTAAATTTTCTAAAATAGTCTCTCCTACAGTAACACATGCACAGTACACTTATTTTTTCTACACTTAGCCTTAGTATGTTTGCAGATTTATAGAATGTATTTTACAAATATTAATAACTATTATAGTACTATTTTGAGATATTTTGAACAGCAATAGTTGTTTTCATTCATGTCTTGACATTTTCAACAATTTCTGCTAGACCTTTTCTCTAAGCCTATCTGACATCTACTTAAATTTATCAAAGGCATCTCAAAAATATTTCCATTAAGAAAACCGTTTCTCCGCCAAAAGGAAAAATCTGTATAGATACAAAATTTTATGTAAAAATATATTGTTCACATCTGTTACTTATAAGCTTTCTAAAATCAGAAACCTACATATTTAACAGGGGAATTGTTGAATTACATTGCATCAATATAATTATTGTATTGTGTCATTAATATTATTATGAGACTTAATGTCATGGGAAAATACAATAAGTATAAAAAGCACAATATAAAATGGAGTGTGAAGTATAGTGCTAATTATATACATGCATAAGAAAAATACTGGAAGAAAATGTGTACTATAAGAAAACATTCTGAAAGAAAATAGTTAGCAGTCATTTTCTTTGGATAATAAGAGTACTGGTAATTTTAACTTTTTTAGATATTCTACAATGAGCACAGAGTACATTTATTTGGAGTATCTTTATTTAAAGTATAAATTTTATTTTAATACTTGAGTTTACATTTTAAAAATATGGTCTGTTGTTTTACTCTGGTGAACACTATGTTATGCTGCAGTATCAAATCTATGATATCAAAGTTTATGTCTTTATCACTTATATAATGCAAGTAGCTCTCCTCCTTGTTATTATTCTGAGAACAGGCTGGAGAAACAGCCCCAACCAGGACATGCTGCTCTTGTGGCAAAGGGAAAAGAGAGCTGAAAGAACCAATCAGTCACTCTTAAAGCTTCTGTTCAAAACAATCACTTTCAGTCATATTTTATTTGCCAAAGCAAGTCACACTGCCAGCCTTATGTCACTGGGGCACGGAGTATAATTCTATGGCAGAGAGAGGCCTGGTAATATTTAGCACAGTAGAAAATACATAACTTCATCAAGTAATACAATATACTATACCTATGCCATATCTGCTTACTTTTAATTCTTTAAATATGTACAGAATTATCAGGGTTTCCATATAAAGATATATAGGGGGAATCCTGTACTGCTCTGGGTTGGGGTTGGGCAGCCATTCACATAGTTGTATTTTTTACAGCTTACCTATCCATACTCAGTAGCTCTGAACATTATACAAGAACTAGAGGTCTGGTGCACAAAATTTGTGCATGGGAGGGGGAGTGTCCCCTCAGCCTAGCCTGTAACCTCTCCAATCTGGGACATCCCTCTCATAATCGGGACCGCTGGCTCCTAACTGCTCTCCTGCCTGCCAGCCTGATCACCACTAACCACCTCTGCCTGCCAGCTAGGTTGCCCCCAAATGCCCTACCCCCACCAGCCTGGTCGCCCCTTACTGCCCCCTGTGCTGGCCAGGTTGCCCCCAACTGCCCCCTCTGCCGACCTGGTCGCCCCTAACTGCCCCCCTGCCAGCCTGGTCACCCCCACCTGATGACCTGGTTGCCTCTCACTGCCCCCCTTGCTGGCCTGGTTGCCCCCAACTGCCCCCCTCTGCCGACCTGGTCGCCCCTAACTGCCCCCCTGCCAGCCTGGTCACCCCCAACTGCCCCCACCTGATGGCCTGGTTGCCCCTCACTGCCCCCCCTGCTGGTCTGGTTGCCCCCAACAGCCCCCTTGCTGGCCTGGTTGCCACACACAGCCTGTTGTTGTCAATAAGTAGCTCTGTTGTCAATAAGGTCGTCCCTCACTAACCCCCCTGCTGGCCTGGTCACCCACGCAGCCTGCTGTTTGGTCATTACTGTGACGGCATCCTGGACAATTTGCATATTCCTCTATTAGTATAGATGGTATATATTTTCCTTTTATTCATTAAAACTCTAATTTTGTTCATTATTTTACTTATTTGGACTGAGTTCTTATCATCCTTTCATCTGAATAAGAGTTTATATATATATGTGTGTGTGTGTGAAGTGCCTATGTAGAATTTTATACTTGCTCTCAGTTGATATTTTGAATGAGAGTTCTCAATGCATCTTAATTTCCTTGAACTCATTAAATAAAAAAGACACAGGTCATTAATGAAATACCCTTGCAGTAATTACTCATTCTTTTCATTGATAATAAATAAAATTTGAGTATTTAAAGAGTACTAAGTGTGCCTTACATAAATATTACGTGGAATCAAAACTGATACAAGTAATGACTGCTGTTATTTTAAGTAAAGATCAGAAAGAAAATGGAATGAAGAGTTATATTTGTTTTTAAAATGCCTTTATAAATACCACTTTTCCTATCCCACCACTGCCACCAAAAAACCCCAAAAAAACCCCACTTTTCCTAAACAGAACAAGAGCTTATCTAAGTTATTTTTCATTTTTAAATCTTTATTGTTGAAAGTATTACAAAAATTTGTGCACTCGGGGGGGAAGGGTGTCCCTCAGCCCAGCCTGTGCCCTCTTGCAGTCTGGGACCCCTCGGGGGATGACCACTTGCTGGCTTAGGCCCGCTCCCTGGGGGGATTTGACCTAAGCTGGCAGTCAGACATCCCTCTGGCAGCCTGGGAGCCCTCGGGGGATGTCCACTTGCCAGCAGGGAGCAGACCTAAGCTGCAGTCAGATATCCTTACTGCTGCTGAGGAGGCGGGAGAGGCTCCCACCACCACCGCTGTACTGACAGCCATCAGCCTGGCTTGTGGCTGAGCAGAGCTCCCCCTGTGGGAGCGCACTGACCACCAGGGGGCAGCTCCTGCATTGAGCATCTGCCCCCTGGTGGTCAGTGTGTGTCATAGTGACTAGTCATTCCCAGTTGTTCTGCTGTTAGGGTCAATTTCCATATTACCCTTTTATTATAAAGGAGTGCCTGGCCAGCCTGGGTGAGTGGCTGATGGC